TTTCCTGACTGAATCCAGCACACCCAGGCTGGTCTGCTCTGATGAACAGAGGTGGCAACCTGGAAGCCACCTCAGTCTCACAAAAACAGCCCAGACTGACTGACTTTCAGTCACCTTGCTTCCCCGAAGAAAACACCACAAACAGCATATGAGGAGCAAAGACAGGACCCAGTTCCCCAGAGGTGGATAAGGGAGCTGCAACACATCTGTATCCGAACGGCTGAGCAGTTCTACCTGAGCCATGCCAAAGTGTGAGACATCAGTCATGGCCACAAGAGCAGCCCTCGCTCCGGGTAGACCACCGCAGCACTGGTATCGCGCCCCTTCCCTGTGATGCACCCGCAGCCCCTCTCACGCACGCTCGGCACTCACCTGGCCGCAGGACCCTGATTTCCAGCAGGTTGGAGGTCCTGTCCGCCAGCCGCGTCCAGCTGCTGTTGTAGTTCTTCCTCCAGAGCTCAGCCACGCACTGGTACTTGCCGGCCTCTGTGTCGCTTGCCCTGCTGATGCTCAGGCGCACGTTGTTGCTGGACTCGGCCTTCTCGATGGCGGTGCGGGTCCGGAAACCCATGTACCTGTCGCCCCACTGGACGCCGCCATCGCGTGTGAAGGTGACCAGGTCATGGAACTCGGTGCTGCCGGCTGGCTGGAAACGCCACGTCACCGACACTGGTACCCACGACGGGTAGTGGGGCTTAATGATGCACTGGAGGTCGAAGGACTCGTTGTAGGTCACTCCGGGGGTGCGGGAAATGGCCGTGACAGCAAAGCCAGCCTCTGCAGACAGAGAAAAGGGCTATGAGACACCTGCCTAACGCGGCCCTGCTGTTAGCATGCCAAAGCTAGAGTGTGGTCATCCAGTCTGGGCCTGGAATATCACCCACTTGTGCTGTGTCAGCTCCTTGTCTGCAACTGGAAAGTGGCACAAAAAGCAGCAGCAAAACCATGCTGAAGGGCCTGCGCAGTGGTGGCTGCCTGTGGGAGCGCTGCCTGCAGCGGCAGCAGGATGGATCCCGCTCCATTTCTGCCCAGCAAAGTGAGACTCTGAGGGTGAGCAGCCAGCCCCTGCGGGTCGCCAAAGCCCTCCGTGGAATGGCAGCAGTGCAGCGGCAAGGGAGTAGCACCAGGTGGAGCAGCTGCCCAGCGCCAGCCTGACTGCTCGCAGACCCCAGGATTCACCTCTCGGGCAGGGGGTCCCCACCCTGTCCCCCACCCCAGGGCTGCGGCTGGTTGGTGAAGGGAAGGTGAGAGAAGCGAGAAGTAGCAGCCTTTGTTTGTGCATCAGAGAGGTGGCAGTGGTTACAAACCCCCAGAATGGAGGCAGCTGAAAGAGAAGCCGGTTGCTCCTGTTCTTCACACAGCATGGCGTTTGCTCTCTCCCAGATCACAGCTCCAGGACGGCTTTATGCAGTTATCCTCACATGTCTACCGCTCTGCAAGCCAGTCAATACACTTTGACCTGTCTACCCCCAGCACTTTGTTTAGGGGAGTGTAAAACCAGCAGTCTACCAGTAATTTGTAGATAACCTATTCCCCAGTTGACTGGCTTACATTTTGGGTCAGAGTATTTCCACTGCTCATTTGTTCCAAGCAGCAGAGAGAAATATTTCCTTCTGTTCCAACCACTTCAGTATGGCCAGCAGATTTAGCAGGGACCTTGTTTTCTATCAGCAACATCCCAAAGAAGTGTTCCCTTCCCAGGAGGCTCCGTAGGGCATCCCACACCAGCTGGCAGCTCTCATCCCTCCCCCTGCAGCGCTGACCACTTCACACAGCTGCTGATGCCCAGGGGGACCCCAACCAGTGCGCAGTTAGCAACAGGACAGTCTTCGGGATCAGCATGGAGCTTCAGCCTGCCACTGGCTCGAAATTCCAGTTTGAGAGATGAGCTGGGTTCTCACTGCATCTCGCAGAGACGCTGCTGCGGGTCAGACTGGCCGCAGTACGGACACCGGCGCATTCCCGCAAGTGTCTCTGCAGCCCCACGGCGTCACCGAGCCAGAGCTCTGGGACGTGTAATTACTCAGAAAACAGGTCAATCTTTGGGATTAAAGCCTCTGGCAACATGTTCAGTGATTACCCAGGAGAGGAGAGCAAGACCCAGGCTGTCTCCCCTGCAGGACTGCTGCATCCCCAAGTAAGCCCTTACCTTCGCACCCTCCAGCAGCCCTCCCGCCTCGGCAAATGCGATACCGGGCCCAGCTCAGAGCACTGCTGAGCCAGCGGATGCCCTAGAAAGCCAACCTCATTTCCCCAAGACCAGCTGACTTTGTAAAGTTTAATCTCCAGTTGGCCTGGGCAAGGAAGCTTCGTGAAGGGACTTCTCGACTGCCAAGTATCTTACGTCCTCAACTCAACCAACACACTCATGTCACTCAGGTTAACAAACGGCCCTTCTTCCTTTGGCACTTGGTACAAAAGCCATGCAGGAAAGTGGGCAGATTTTCTGCAGGACCTCCCTCCAGGAACACAGCAGCCGTCCTTCACCCTGCCTGCCCTCTCCTTCCCCAGCCAGTCGGGGACTGAAGCCCCCGCCAGGCACTCGAGATCCTCAGAAGTTCAGGGACATCTGGTCTCATCCAACAGCACATCTCTCTTCTGGTTATTGCTTCTGAACCACCCTGTAGATAGATTTATGGGTCTGAACATCATCTGCGCTGGTTCAGCTAAAGAGTTTTATATCGTGGCAGGCTGGCAAACGATTAGACCTTAACTTGAAATGTGTCACTGAATTTACTGCCTTTTTTTTTTTTTTACTAGCAATTTCTGTAGCCATAAACCTCTCTTGCTCTTTCTTAGCACCTTCCATTTGGGTTTCTCAGGAGACTTCAAAAACAGTATGCTGAACAAAAAATATCAGATTCAGCAGCAACAAAACACTATTTTCTCCACTAAATTTTCATGAGCTACTTCAGCTTCACTAGTTACAGGAAGAGGACCTAGGAATTTCTTAAGACTTGACAGAATGTGCCCAACAGACAACGATTTCGCAGGGACAAGGAGCAGAGGAGGAGGGACAACTACCTTTCTATCACATCTTCAGGAATTGCTGGGCAATTCCGAGCATCTTAAATTTTAACAAGAGCAAAAGTGATACATTTTAAAATCTCAACATCACTACCAGTGGCAAAGAGAAGGGGCGATACGTGCACTTGCAGCAGGCCAAACGCTGCTGACCTCATGAGGAAGACACTGTTGATACCAGATGAGGATCTGCCTTTAGTTCTTTATAAACTAAGGTCCCTACCTGCCTTTGGAAGCTATACAACATATATATTTCTAGCTCCAGACAGAACAGCCTCTGAAAGAAGGTCAAAAGCAAAGGGGAGAAAAGGAAGAGGAAAAGCAAGATTTTAATCAGAATATGATACAACTTTGAAATCTGGTCTCTCACACATCTTGCCACAGTTTAAGATTAATACTGCAGAGAACCAAAAATTCCTGTCTCGACCTTTTAATAGATCTGCCCAGTTGTTTATAGCCCTGGAACTCTGCAAATCAGGGGCCTCATAGAACAGTCATTCCTTCTTCAGTCTCCTGCAGAGCACTTTGGGAACTAGTCCAGGACTTAATACAGCAAGGCCTGAGCTGGATCAAGGTAATTCACAGTCCATGCAAAATCTCTAATGCCCTGCCTGCTCTCTCCTATACCAGTGGTTTCACCGTGTTTGAGATAGGGGAGCCCTGTGGCAGAGCAGAGTACCAGCTGCAGTGATCCAAGGTCCTAGTTTGGCTTGGTCACAGACAACGCTGTGGTTCTGGGCCAGCAGCCTAGGGCCTCCCTGGGGAGGCAGCGAGGACCGTTCCTGACCCATGTCTTCCGCAGGCTTCTGATGCTGTCAGTGATGCTCGCCGTTTCTGGTGGCCAGGCCAACAGACGCCCAGCGTTTCACCCTCCTGGTCTGGCGAGCGGAGACAAGGTTTACTCAGGGCAGGCAAGGGGGCTTCGGTGCCCACGGGCACCCCTACTGCCCTGCCCCTAGCCCGGCTCCAATGCTGAGGACACATCATGGGACTGGCAGCCTCCCTCCTTGGAAGGATGCTGGAAGCACTGCCTCTCTCCTTAGCCACCCCTTGCTTTGCCTCTGCCACAGCCATCCCCCAAGGCTTTGCCCCCACACGCAATGGGACAAGCAGGCATTTTGCACCAACCTACCAGGAGCTGCGGGCAGGCTGCCAGGTACCTCCGTTGTGCCGGCAAGCAAGGGCAGAGTGCCAAGAGCAGCCCCAGTTATTCGCAGGTGACCCCTCCTGGGGGGGCCGGGCACGCAGGGAGCAAAGCCCCACGGCCCCCCACGCCTTGAGTACTCACCCAGAGCAGTGATGGACACCGGGGTGCCCGTGTGCCGCTCCCCAACCAGCTGCCACTCCCCATCCAGCGTCCGCGTCCACTCGGCCACCCGGCACTCATAGTGGCCCTCGTCTGCCTTGATGCTGTTGAAGATCTCCAGGGTGAAGGAGCCGGGTCGGACCTGCTCCACCTGGATGCCCCCGTAGCTGCTGCGCTCGGTGTATGAGGGTCCCGGCTGCAGGGTGCCCTCCCGATCCAGACGCACAATTTCGCTGCGCCGGTTCAGCCTGTCCACCAGCTGCCAGGCGACGGAGAAGTGGCTCTGGGGCCCGAAGCCCGAGCGCACGCTGCAGCCAAAGCGCAGGCTCTCCCCCTCCAAGACATTGCTGGCGTTGTTGATAATCTCCAAGGAGATGCTGGTCTCTAAGGAGAGAAACGCATACACACAGGGGAGATGATACACACTCGCCACTTCTCGGTCTGCAAGAAGGACGCTGCCGGCAGAGAGGCTTTCTACCAGGTGCAGGGAACTGCCCACGCATTTGGGTCCAGGCATGTCTTAACCTCATGCGTGACCACATCCAAAACCGGCTCGTGGGCAGCGAGCTGCTCCTGGTGACTTGCACACTCAAAGCAGGTGTCGGCCAAAGCTGGGAGATATCTCTCTGCCTACGGCTCACGAGACATTGTCGCGTCTTCTGGTCACAGGTCCGGGATGGGATCTCAGCAAAACTTGCGGAAATTTGTGTGGCTACAACATGCAATCGGCTCTGCCAAAAAAGGCTTCCAGCTCCCTGGGCTTTTCAATTCGCGTCATCCTGATCACCATCTTGACACGTCCATTCCTACAACACCTTTTGGGAGGAGCTCTCCCAATCTCCCATCACTAGTGACACTAGAGGTAGCTAGCAATGTTTGGTAGCACCAAAAAAAGGGTATCCTGAGCTTCTCAGAGACATAAGGCTTTACAGCCAGTTTTTCAGAGATACTGAGTGCTGATCACTCCTGCTGTCTTCCGTCGGAGTTATGGACACTTAGCACCCTTGAAAAATCATCACGTTTGTTCCTAAAGCTGGTGATTTATCAAATGGCAAGAATGAAATCTGTCTGCGAGGAGGCTGTGCCTAGAAGTACTGCACTTTACACATTTGTCCACCGCAAGATTTCTAGCTAATTTTCAAAGCCAAACCAGTGAGACCAAATACTGGTAGGAGAGAAAAGAAACAGAATTTCTTGTGGAGAAATGAGGAGGAAAAAATAAAAAAGCTAGAGGAAAGGGCTGCATTACCCTACAAACCTGAGAGAAACACTGCACAACATCCTCTTGCAGCTCTACCCTCTGCCTGGTCAAAGCCCACTGCCAGGGTAGCCCGGGCAACGCGCACATGGTTTGCCATGCCACAGCTACCTGAGTTTTGGAGGGCAAAACAAGGAGCGAATCTGTGTTCTCTTTCCTCTTACCCCGTTATTTCTGGGTTTATCACGTTTGTCTGACAGACACAAATGGCGCTGGGGCAAGCCTCCGGCAGGGTTGCTTTCGCCAGGGCTGGCAGACACGCAGTGACCCCGACAGAGCTCCACGCTGATGAGCAAAGCTCGAGGAGCACGCAAACCCTGGTTTCTCCCAGTACAGCTGTCCTGCAAGACAGCTGAACAACAGGCACTGAATGGCCCGCAGGAACCTAGCAACTCTTAGGATAAACCAAGGCCAAGCCGGCTCCCCGTTACGCCCGCGGAGTGCTTTAGAGCCGCCAGCTCCATGCAGAGCAAGGCGAGGAGACAGAGCAAGTCAGATGCTGTCGCACACACCTTCAGCTCAATGACAAAACTGCCAGCTTGGTGGCATTACCAGGGTGGGAACACGTTTCCCCACCTACGAACCTGACACATATCCCTCCTTCTCCACCATCCCCTTCCCATCAAAAAACCCACAATCTTGCCAGTTGGGATTGCAAGCCCCCATAGCATGCAAACTTGTATCCCACCCTCTTCCCCACTGCCGGCGCCTAGGCCCATTGCAGCCTCACCAGCCAGCTTCCCAGCAGAGCAATGACCCCAGGAGGGGATGGGCAAGTCTCTACTTACTGAGCGGGAGGACGGTGATGGGGATGTTCTTCGGCCGCTTGCTCTCCTTGTCGATGAAGTCCCCCGTCACGGTCTTCTCCCGCTCAGTCACCCGGCAGTTGTACTTGCCACTGTCCTCAAGGCGGAGGCGGTAGATCTTTAGCACAAAAACGTTGTCACTTTCTTTGGCTACCTTGAGCTGGCCCAGGGCCTCACGCTGGGCAAACTCGTTGTTGAGCACCGGCACGGCATTGGGTCCCAGGCTGGCGATGAGGGAGCTGTTGAAGGCCCAGGAGATGGAGAAGTAGCGGTCAGGGACGTTCTGTGCCTCCAGGATGCACCGAAACTCCACCGGCTCACCCACAATGTACATCCGCTTCTCCGTCTCCAGCCGGACGCTGAACTCCTTATCTGGGGAGAGACAGACCAACTCACATCAGCATGGCAAAGCCCATCAGGAGAGCCAGCACATCTCCTGGGAGGTATTTACAACTTACTGCTCCCTGCACAGCCTACATCCCTTGGAAACATACATCCGCAGGGGTTAGGGGCTTCCTTTTGCTGTAGGAGCCCACATCAGCCATGCTGCAGGAGAGGCAGCTTGCTGCCCAGCTGCAAGGCTTCCCCAGCTGTTACCCTCTCCTCCATCCTTTTACTCCGGGGAGCAACTCTGCTGCAACACCAGCATCTAGTGGCACTGAGGGATGTGACCTGGAGCCTAGTCCTACTCACAGCCTGCTCAGCCCAGGTCGAGAGGCAGGGCCTTTGAGGGTATCAGAGAGGAAGAAAGAGCTCAGCTGGGTCTTTAGATCCTTGCCAGGAACCCATGCTTCAGGCTGGGAGAAGAATTTTCATAGAATCACAGGATGGGTTAGGTTGGAAGGGACCTTAAAGACCATCTAGTTCCAACCCCCCTGCC